CTTGTGAAGATTGGCAAGTGGCCAATCCCTAAATTAAAAAATCCCTAAATTAAAAAATAATCATATGATTATGCAGCATAGGGGTATCTAGATCAACAATGCAAAATAGACCTGATTGGAAAACTGATTTTATTTCATGATTTAGTATTCCCAACAATTAGTGACTAAAACAGTTTTGAGGATACCTACTTGAATTTCTTTTTTTCGGTATAATTCCTGGGAATAGGACTGACAACAGTTTTAGTAATTCATCCAAATGGTAGCCATAAGTATTTGAAAAATAATTAGTACAAATCCAAATTATTAATGCCATGATGAGAAACCGTGACCTCAAAGAGCTTGTAACAGAATTGAGATCTTGCAGACTGACTCTATTTTTATTAATAGTGTCTCCATAAAATCAAATGCAGAGTTAATAGATTTAATGAGAACTGTCTGTAGTCGACAGAATCATACATATTAGAGAAGGCAAACAACCAGCCTCTTTTGACCTGATCTAACCTCTAACCCATTCTTGCACATCCCAAGATTTTTCCAAATGCCAAAAGAGCTGACCAAAGTCAAGCCACAGGTGAGCCTTAGTAAAAATCAGGATTTTTTATGTAAGCTGCTTTCCTGCAACAGTGAGAGAAGTGGAGCAATCCCATCTGACCTGACTCCAAAGCAGAGAGTAAGCAGACCAATCTCAGTGAGAGTGTACTATAAACATGCAGTAATGAAGTCATGAAATCTTTTAGGACCCTTCAAGAGGAGCTCTCTTGTAAGCCAACATATCCCCACAGCACTATGGTCCCCATGTGCTGTTGCTCCCTGAAGCATGCCACTTCAACGCTACTATCTAATTGCTAGTAAAAGCATGCCTTTCAGGATGCCCAAGTCTTTTTCTTCTCCTCTCAGTCAATGACTCCTTAGTTATGGGTGAGCAAATATGAAAGCAGAAAGTGAGTTAGTGAAGCAGTGTTCAAGCTACATGTTTACAACCACAGGCATAGGAATGGAAGGAGAACCCTTTGAGGTTTGCTGATAAGGCTGAGCTTAGCTTTATTATTGCTTGGTCTGAACATCATAGGCATCTTTTAATGATTTAACTAGAGGCCCCCTTTATCTTATAGGCAGCCACTTGAGTTCTTGGAGGGAGGGCAAAGTAAAGGTGGAAGCTGGGAAGAATCAGGTTATGGACAAACTGTAACTATCCCTATTATTGCTGGGCAAAACAGACAATTTCAGTGTACAGAGAAAAAGACACTTGGTTAGTTTTGTGTCTCGCTTTTTGGTTGTTTTTTTTTTAAACTCTGTTTAGTGCTGGACATTGTAAACAAATCAACAAAGAGGTGTTGTTTGTTTTTTTTCCTGGAGAAGCTTTTTCTTTTCTCCCAAATAATCTGAATTTTTCCATTTTGTTTAACCATTCCATACCTACTACTCCAGTAACAGTTAACCCGCCTCTTTCGACCATTAGTGGGCCAGATCATTAGTGGGCCATTGCTGGGGATTTTTTCAAGACCATTTTTATGGTAGTGCTCTCTCTCAAGCAGAATTCCTTCACTCACCACCAGCCACCTACTGTATACAGAGCCTCTTTGTTTCCCTTCAAGAGTACTTCTAAAAGGTCTTGTATTCTGGAGTATCAGAACAAAAGACAATTTATAATCCTTGGATATGCTCACAAAATTGAATCATTTTTAGCACTGTCCCACACAGCGCCATAGGAGAAGTCTGTGTCTTTCAGAACTGTAGTATCTTCTCATCTTATTCTCACTATAAATCAGTAAATATCCTAATGCCTTTGATGTACGTTTGAGCGGACTCCATGTCAAATAGCGATCATTATCCCAGTATCTACACAGTGGTTATCTGGGATCCAGCAATTATTTCTAAAGGAAACCACTGGGAAAATGCCAAACTTTTTCACAGAGATGACTCTTGTGTTTGCTAAATCAATGGTTTGCTGCTGAGTCCTAGGGCTGTATACACATATTAGCAAAACAAAACAGCATTTAGTAAAAACAAAAGGTTTCCCTGGGTCACACACTGTCAAATCCAATACTGAAAAGTGCAGAGATCCTGTTTTTTAACTCTGCTCTTTTCTGGCTCTCTTCACTGTGACTAATGCTCTGCATATCTCCCTTGATCCAGCATGTTTCCTACACTTTCCTTCAGGTATTAAAAGGGATACAAACCACAGCTTTTTGGTACTTACTCTAAACTTTCAACAGTTATGTAATATTTGTTTTACACTTACAAACCTGTACATCTACATTTTGTATGTTCCAAGCATATGAAATTTAATAAACTTGAAATTAACAGTAAAATGTTGAAGATAATTGGAAGGTTTTGAATAAGAACAGAGTTTTGATGGGAATGAGAAATGTTTACTTTACAAAAATCTGTTAACATATGAGACATAAACAACATTCTTCACCTTCAAAAACTCACTCATATTCATTTCAAATGGAAACTTTGCAGTGCTGTCTATGAGGTCAGGAAGATATCTGTCTTTCTAAATGTGTTATTTAGAACAGAAATGGATTTCATATAATATGGTTTTGTATGTTACTGGCTGTTAGTAAACAGTTTCACAAGACTGAATTATGGAAACTAGGAAAAGGATTATAATTTGGTTGTGTTCTCTTTCAATTGCAAATTTTCTTTGTTAAATTTTAGACATTATCAGCAGAGAAATCTAATTTTTTCTTACCACTTGAACCTGGTTAAAAAGTAGAGATTCTAATTGTTTTACAGACTTATTACTCTTTAAGTACATTTTCCAGCGTGAACAAAATGTTTTCTTCAAGCAATAGATCATATAATTTCAGCTGTATTTTCTGGATAGCTCTATAACAGGGTTTACAAATACTTTCAGATGAAGTATGATCTCTTGCACATGGGGTAGACGTAATCTTGTAACTCAACTTCTAAAAGTCATTTTAGAAGGTAATTTTAAAGCAATTGAGTGGTGTTAAGAGAAGCAAAAGCTATTCCCTATTTGGAACAATTCTTAAGATCTTGATCAAAACCAAAAAAGTTTTGTGAATTTTAGGCCAAGCACAATAAAAGACAGAGTAACTGCACTTTAGAAGCCATAATTTTAATAAGAGATGGAGGGATGTTCTTGTTTTCACTTCTCTGATTCTACTAATACATGACTGTAATTCATTAATTCAGGGTCAGGCAATGAGTCTGTGCAATTATTCACATGAGTAGTCTTACAGAATTCAGTGTCCTCGTTTAACGTGCCATTAAAATGGTACATGGATGCATCTAACTAATGCAAACATCAGTTCACAGCAAAACACAATGGATAACACTGTGAAGTCCTTAATCCCAACCACTGTCTACTGAGAAAAATCAGAAATTTGGCTGTATCAAGCTTAAAGATTTCTGGGGGAAAAGAAAAAAAAAGAAATAAAAAAAAAAAAAAAGAAAAGAAAAAGAAAGAAGAAACAATCATCTACCATATTCAGAAAACCAGGACACTAATTTTATCACAGTTTTAGAGAGACACTTTTGCACCAATTGTAGTAATCCAAGGAACGTAACATTTAAGGTGTGACACTTCAGCATTGTGCTAAAGAAGAGCACAATGCCAAAAGAGAAGATGGAAGAGGCAAAGGCAGAGATTTGCTTGACTCTTCCCACTCTGGCACAGTTTGCATGCACAGCGGAAGGCAAGCTACATTTTGCCACGCTACTGAATATTTGGAAACATACATTGTTCTCCAGTTTACCTAGCAGATTGTTGATATCCTTTATACAAACAGAAGTCTGTACATCATTATCTGGCACACAGTCATTGTAGGAGTATAAAATCTTTGAAAGTAAAATGTAGATTAGGCCTAAAAACCCTTACATCTCACCTTGCTCTTCAAGAATAGAGTATTCAGTATATTTCACTGGTGTATGTCCTTCACGGCTAGATAAAGACTAATGAGTCTGGAATTAGGGTAGATTTATGTCATCCAGTTTTAAAAGGTGTTGAGGGAGTGCAAGTCCAATTCAAAACCCAGAATTCATGCTTCCCATCATCCCAGTCCATGATACAACCAACATCTGAAAGCATACTCCCATGCTTCACATTAATGTCAACCAAAATATTAATTCAGCCCCCAAGGAGCATTTCTTTGCTATGTTTTGTACTGAGATGTGTACAAATTATACTGTATTACTTTTGTAAATGCTATGCAAATGCCAGGTATTTATGGAATTGTTAATTGCCATTAAAACTGGACCTTGTAGTGGGCAACATAGTGATGCAGAGATCTTGTCTTCTAATATATTTTTTGGTAGACAACGATGTTTTGTAACCAAAAAAAAAAAAAATTATAGACACTGTTTTCCCAAATGATAATGAGCATTTGTGTCCAGAAAAGGTCCATCTTTTCTCTTTAAATCTGTATCATGTATGAAAATTTAAGTAAATTTGTCAGTCCTTTGACATTATTTTATTAAAAAAAGAGGGTGGAGAGCAATAAAAATTTGTTATGATTGCTACTGTAAAGTATTTCATCATTGTTGTTAATATTACTCAGCAAAAGCACAACTTCACTTTACAAAAACCAATAGGGGCAACACTTGTTTCAATATATGACACTGAAGTAAATACATTACTCTAGGTACTATTATGTGGCCAAGCTTTTATTTTCTTTTTAACACAAGGTAGAAGAGCCTTTAAGCAAAGCTTTCTAACACCTTTGAGAGCAGAGAGAATCTGCGTATTCATAGTTCGGCATGTGAACTACAGCTGTAACAATAGAGCTGGTGCTGGGCTAGAACCACAAGTTCTCAAGGTATTTCAGTAGCTAATCAGAACTCTTACAACACTTCTGTCCCCACCACACTGAAACCTTTTCCTATAATGTTTTCTGACAAAAAGACAGGTAGCTAAAGAAGAATAATCCACAGATAGCACTGCTTTGGCTTCTGACATGTAATGTGCAATTGAATAACTCAGTGAATTTCTCTATTATAAATACGAAGACCAAATTCCACAAAATACTTACAGTTCTTTGCATCAGAAGAGGTGTTTCAGAGCAACCTATCCCATCATCATTAAAACTTGATTCCATATTGATTATGTCTTCAATAACTTCTTCCATCTAGTGAAATAATATTTTAAGACCGATAATTATTATTATTGCAGAAAATATTATTCTGAAAATATATGTAATATAATTGTTTTTATTACTTCAATACAAAATTCCAGAAGTTTATATCTTAAAATTCAAATAATTCAAGTACTTCTACAAAATATTCTCTTATTAAAATTCTTGTAGACTTTTGTGCTTCAGCATTACTTCTTTCCTAGGTTTAGCATCCTTCTTTCCAGCCACCAACTCACTCTTCTTTCCTAATCCCATATTGCAACACCAAAATCAGACAACAAAAGCACGTTGCTAAGCTGTAACTATGATCTGTCACCTTCATCAAATGTGTCATATTCACAGTGTATTGTTCCACTGGCGCAGGAACACTGAAAGGAACCTGTGGTTCTGCAAGAATATGAGTCACTCAAGATTTGGTACTATGCACTGTTCTCAAGATTCAACAGTTTGTGTTGTGCTTGGCATTGCACTGGATATTTCTCTAGCCAGCCTTCTGGACCCACTTTTGTTCTAGTCTGAATCAAAATCTGCTGAAGCAGATGGAATATATACAAGAAGCCATAGCTGAAGAAAATGGAGGAGGCTCCATGCAACAACTAGAAATATCACTACACAGCACAAAAAAATATCACTCACAGTCAAGGGACCATTCAGTAGTCTTTTTAGGTCAGTTGACACAGCATGTCTTCAAGGGTTGCTCTGAAAGTAATGCCTCCTACTATAGTCGACCCACATAATCAGAGACAGATTTTTGTGCTATGGCAGTAGAAGTAGAACCTTTCATTAATATTCTGTTACATTTTATTGCTGTGTGACTGGAATGATCCCTACAAGGATTTTGGTAAATTCCAAATATCACCGTCTCAAATACCAACAGGCACAGCTCAGTAGGGAATAAGAGGTTCTTTGCAAGCAGTTGTTTTTGCTCTGGAGGATAAAGAGTTGTAATAGTACAGAAAACAGTTGTTCCTGGTCACATATACAAGGTACTTAAGAACCATTCCAGGACACTGTAACTGCTAGGCCACAGAGTACCATGAAGGCCATCTAAAACTATCTTTGTAGAGTAATGGTTTCAATAATCCATAATTCTGACATTAATTGTCAGTTGTCAATGTAGAAAGAACAGAGAGTTCACAAATGAGCCCTCCAACAAGTACTGGTTTTATCCTTTCAATTCACTCATACTTAGCTGTATGCATCCAAGTTTGCTCAGATTGGTCACAGGGTATTCGTAAGACTCTTCTATTAATGCCCAAGATATGATATGGCACCTCCACTTATTTCTGCAGGAATTCTCCTTTTACCTAATAAGCACTACCTCTTGAGATCTACTGAAGTATTAAAAGCCATAATGATCTACATCTCACACTGTCTGAGAATGTGACATTGTATAATAGCTGTACCTCTGTTAAAATAGATGGTGGCACTAAAGTTAGCAGATCTATGCCAATTTACCCAGGATAACCTCTATATAAATATACCAGCTAACTGAAAAATGAATGAATGATTCTTTCAGTTACATCTTTAATCAGTATTTAATTTTGTTATGCAGCTAGGATAGTACTTTTAGACTGAAATAACTCTTATCTGGTTAAAAAAAAAGTTTGCGTTGCTAGGAATGCATTGGCCATAGTTTAGAAACCTGATCTTGCAATAAGCTATTTGCATGGCATTCAAGGGAATTGTTCGTGTAATCTGAAAGGACTCAGGGCACATGCTCTGCAACTAAAGGCTCTATGAAAGTGAAGACAATAATCTCTTGCCCACAGTGAATACAAGGTGAATCCTATTACATTTTCATAGAAATAAACAATGCCCAATTCCCCATTCTTTTTGCTAGCTTTGCCCTACCGCATTTTCATGTTCTCCTCCAAGGGCCAGAAGCTTGGTCACGGGACTCTCTGGTGTGCCAATATCACTGACTGGAGGCATGTGTCCGTTCCTTAAAATAGAGGTCACTCCTGTGGGCTGGACTGTGTGGGAGTGGGACAGGGAGAGAGTCTGGCTGGACAGTTTTGTGTCAAGGGTCAAGTACTGCTTCACCTGGTGCCGCTGACTTTGCTGGATATGGTATCTAGACTGATTTTCCAAGTGTGTTTGTACCTGGAAAGAAATAGAAAGAACTGCTAAAGTTTCAAGCATTTGCCAGTGTGACGACTTAGAAAACTTCAAGACAGTAGAATCAGTTCTTATATCACTGGATAGAATCATTATTATTTGCTTCAAATCTTTTTTTTTCTTTTTTTTTTAAATTTTGTACTCTTACACATTTCCTTCTTATGTGCTATCTTTCCCAAACGTATCAGAATACATCCTCTGAATAATTATCAAATAATAGAATAGAAGAGGATAATTCAGATGTAGAAGAGATAATTCAGATGTAACTGGCAAAGAACATCAAGTGCAACTGATCATAACTGATCATAAGCAACCCTGAGAAAAGATGAGAAGTGTGCTACACATTTTACTTTTCCCATGCAAAATTGGTCTTTGTTGGAATCTCTGATCACTGCAATCAAATCTACAAGCGTACATGCATACCCTAAATTTACTATCACAATGCAACTACACTTTTGTACTTAAACAGCAAAAAAATATATAAAGAACAACGTAAGCACCTTCAAGATCAACAGCATTCATTTATATCTAAATTCACATTAGACTCACCTTGTTAGATGTACAGTCAGTTAAATGAGGCATTGTTGCCCTTTCACAATAAATGAATAAATTTAAAAAAATAGAAATAGAAATAAAAATAAATAAATAAATGCACAGTATAAGCTATAGTCCTGGATGACCATCCACTGTTTTCAAGCCACACCGTTTTCATGAAGTGCCTCTTGAGGACAGATCACTTTTTGAGTTGGTATGACATTATAAACCGAGCGTTCATGCCAAATTGAGCCAGACTTTGGGCTGTCCTTTGATTACAAAAATTGACAATTACTACTTCAGATAGTTCTCATCTCAGATCAGTGTCACATTCCTGCAATTTAACTATTGGAGGAGCACTGCATACACAAACCCCAGTCATTTCAGCCGTGGCTTTCTCCTTTAGCTATGGAATGACTGGTCACAGATTTCATGTAATAAATTTTTCTTAAGTGGCTTCTTTGTAAGCATGGTTAATATTTGCTAAATAATAGCACAACTTCCTCTGCAGCCCCTGTTTATTAAAAAAAATTCTGTCAATTAAACAAACCTCTTTTTAATCCCTCTAACAAACTTAAGCAGAGATAAATACCTCATAAAGGGGGTTTGCATTTAAATTAACTATATTTCTTAAATTAACTATATTTCTTTACATTACAGAAGTTACTTTATTTTTTAATTGTGTTACGGTTGCGTGTCTAAAATTATTTTATGTTTCTTTAAACTAATTTTCTAGTCATATAAAAAGTTTAAGCTGCACAGTAATGAATATAATATTAATTATTTTGATGCGAGTCTTAAAGTCGTAATATTCCACTAAAATAGTGATATAAAATATTAAACGCATTGTTTAGATTGTCCCCTGTTTCATGTTAAGAAGGTATGCACCCCTTGTAAGAAAAAACTAAATGTGCATTCAGGATTTACTCAGATTGTAATATTATTTGTCTTAAGCGAGACCTTTGTCTCACTTAGTGTCTGCAACACTAGTTCTAGAAAGTGTATAATGCAGGGTTAATTTGAGCTCTGATTTATCATTATTTAGCAAGAATGATAGCTTCTTCAGCTTCAGTAAGGCTTGTGCTCACACTGAAAGTTAGACAATCAGGCTGCTTCCTAAATTAGAACACAGAAAGGAAATCTACTGCATATCAGTTTAACAAAAGTATTAGTTTGAGGTGCTGAAAGAAATAGATGTCCCATTGTATAGAAGGAATTTGCTGTAAACCTTTGTTTTCTGTTGCTGTTTCAGAATAGACCACAGATACTTCTTGTTTGCACTGAATTCCGAAGTCACAAAACACAACTATAATCTAGGCCTTCCCTGCCCAAACTGATGAAGATCTCTTTCCAGCAATGAAGAACACTTCAGTCAACAGTTTTGAAAATGCAGTTTCTTAGGATGATACAAATGAGACAGGACCAAAGCACAAACTACAAATACAATTACTGCATTTTACCCCATCTGCATTTTTCTCTTGAAGGAGCAATGAATTTTTCTTAAAACTCATTCCTTGTTTTCTTAAAATTTCTACAGGTCTACCTAAAGCAAGAAATCTAGAATATTGGATATCTTCAAATTAAATGAGGAACATAAGAAAATTGCAATATCTTAAAACTGTATTACTTTGTTTAAAAATTTGGGAATTTATTTTGTTTAAGTTTTGCATACAGACAGAAATTTAAACAGAAATGTATTTAAGCCACAAGGATATTGCTGAAAAGTGGCCTGCTTTTTACTTTCTCTGGCCTGCAGATTGCTGGTGGCAGACTAAAAGTACGTGCAGTCATATTACCTGGTGAGTCACTACAGAGCTATCCCACCACTTCAATGTTTTCTGAGAAAGAATTCAAGTAAAAAAATCAAGAAAAAAAATCAAGATTATTAAGTGTATTTCTCTTATCTGACATTCTTTCAGTGCTTAGATCTTGTCAGCAGTGTCTTCAACTTTCACAAACAAGAAAAAAATTTAAACTCCACTGATGGGATCTCTTGGTATGGTTTCACAATGCCCTTTACAGTGCAAAATGCAGTCATTTTAACACAGAACCATTGGAGTTAAAAGGCGATCTAGGCCTATATTTTCAAAAAGTACTGAAAGCTGTCCCTAATCATCCTTTTTTATTTAAATAACTCTGAGATCACTGCATAAAGGCAAAGCAGGACTGAACTCCTATTTTTACAGTCGTATTTCTGATGTATAATAAATGGGGAGAAAAAGTCAAGTTATGCTAAAGGAATGTTAAGAATGCAAAGTCAAGCTCTCTGAAAATTAGAAATGACAGTTCCTGCCCATACAACATGTGTGAAATGGGAGAGGAAACTCAAAACCTAATCATTCTACGAAACCTGTCAATTATCAAGTATGATCAGGCTATTGTGTGCTGGAAAATTTTTATTATCTTATTCAGTAATATTAAACTCAGGCTAAGTTTTCTGAATGCTTTAAATTAAATACATATTTAAAAATTTACCTTTAATTTACCATATTTAAAAATTTACTTTTACCATAATTGCAAGCAATAAACTTTGTATTGATTTTGAGCTTTCTTTTAATGATTTTAAAGGAGTGGTTAAGAATTGGCATAGGTTGCTTGGAGTGGCTGTGAGATCTCCATCCTTGGGGATTTTCAAAATTTGTCTGGACAAGGCCCTGATCTCCTGAGGAAGAAAGTAAATCTAGAAATAGGGAAATTTGAATTGGTAAAATTTAAATACTTATGTTAGAGGATCAGTAAAATAAATATGAAAAGCAAGATAACCAAAATATCACTCCCACGTGTAAACAGTCCTACAAGACAAAGAGCCTAGGTATACATGCTCTAAACTGCTTCAAGGCATTGAACAAATCTTAAATCCACCAAATAAGATCTCTGTTTATCTGACAAGTGAGAAAAGTAGCTATTAGGGTAAAAGCATCCTCCTTTTTTGTCCAATAATCCCAGCAGTGTCCTTCAGCAGTGTTGGAAATTCCAGCAGAAATTTTCTAATTCCTTGTCATTTGAAGAGTTCCTATAGTAAGTAATAACATTTTGTCAGAGAACACATGAATTTTTAAGGTAGGAGACTTTGCAGTACTTCCATTTTAAAATTGTTCAAAAATTTTTGAATCTGGGATATGCAGCATTTATTTTTACACTTTCTTTATTGCAACAACAATATAGTCTCAACATAGAGGATGGTTTTTTTGTTTGTTTGTTTTTCTTTCCTTATATAATGAATACTTAATCATTTATTTAAAGCAAAGCACCTTAAAGGAAGACCTCAAGATGTTTTTCAGGATAGATAATCAATAAGACCAATGGCTCTGTGCAAACTGGATTCGGGTTCCTGACACAAAATGAGCAGTTGTCAGTAGACCATTTGCTACTAATCATCCCTGTGTCTTCCTAATTTGTGTGAAATGGATTACCTTGCTCCTTGATATGCCTGATTTTGGGGAAACCTAAGTAGAAATAGGGACCCAATGACCAGCTGAGGAACCAGGTAGATGCTGACTGCAGGGACAGAAGAGCCTCAGACAGAGATGTCCTGCTGGAACACCTGCTTAATTCTCAGCAAAGTTAGTGGCCTGAACCTTCCTGCCAGGTACTCCTGAAGCTATATTGACTATTGTGTGCACATAGGTGACAAATCTATGCAGATAAGTGATGGTTGTCCTCTCAGACATTTTCTCGAAGTGGATGTGGCTGCACATTTTAAATGGCAATTTTTCAGATTATTTGAGGAGCGAAGGACAGCATGAAATTCAGCAGTAAAGTGCCTTTCTCTGAGGCACTACTTTTGTCTCTTATCTCTATGTCTTATCTCTTATCTCCTGTCTCTATCCTAATTACTGTGAAATTAAAACCTCTTCAGAACCAGTAACACGAAGCATTTGGGGACCCAAAGCATCCAGTACAAATTCAAATACTATAGTTAGACTAGAATAAAGCTAGAACAGAAATGAACACTTTGAGATAGCTTTTGGAATCCAGAACAAATCCCAGTGCACGTGTAACCTAATGTCCCTGTTTCTGACAAGCCAGTTCTGAGAACAGGAACATAACTGCCTTTCAGAATTAGAGATGCAGAGTCAAACTTCTTCATTTGCACTTTGTAATCTGAGCACACAGCCTCGTGTTGTAAAACTGTGGTAGTGTTTTGCAATATCTTTTCCCACACTCACATTGCTCTCTCTTTCATTTCTAAAAATTCCACAGTGGCATGACTAGGTCTTCAGTATATTTACATCAATTATTTTACTTCCACATTTGCTGATGAGATTTTTCCATCAGTAAAAAAAATAGTATGTCAAAAGTAAGAAAAGGTCACATTTAGGAGGCCTAAATAAAACATGAATCATGCCAATGATATTCCAGTATGTAGCAGTGCCATGTACCATACTGATATTCCACCATGGGCAAGCAGATGATACGTTAACTTGCAGTGTGCTAGCCCAACATCAGTC